CAGAAAGACTGGAGACCTGCATGGGGGCATCTCACAGTCTCAGCCTGGACGTTGCACATGTCACTTCTGCTCACACTTTATTGGCCAGCATTAGCACCAGGACCCTGAGTGACTATAGGGGCTGGTAAGTGGCATCCCCTGTGTGCCCAGGAGGGAGAGGAGGAGACGGAGCAGTGCTTGTAGCACCCATTACACTTTTGAGCCAGCAAGTCCAATTTTAGCAAGTTATCCTAAGTAAATATTCTGAAAAGTTCATGAAGGTGTTAGAAGAAAGGATTTCCATCATATCCTTGAGTACAACAGTATAAAGCTGGAAACAAGTACCCAAGGTACAACCTACGTAGATGTTAAAAATGATGCCGTTACATATTTACTGACATAGAAATATATTTACAATATAGTGTTAAAAGGGAAAAAAGCAAGTTATAAAACAGTATATGTATAATAATGTATAATATGATTGTATCTCATGAAAAAAGTAATAAAACAGCTATAGATGCATAGAAAAGAAGTCTGAAAAGATATATACCAAAATGTTAACAGTGGTTATAAACAGATGGTGTAATAACAGGTGATTTTTTTCGTTTCTTCTTAGAAAAGTATATATTATTTATGTACCAAAAAGGCATTTGAAAAGGGAAAAGAAACAAAAAACAGTATTCTTGGGAGAGTCCACTTATCCACCTCATGCTAATCGTTAAATTCTTACATTTGATGCAAGAAGTGCCTAATTGTCTGTCACACCATAAGACATTGCTACAACAATTTATTTAAAGTCAGGATTTTATATTAAAAGTGGTCCATAGGGTAAGAACAGTGACACATTCCCCACAGCTGCATATCATTGGACCTGTCAGTCATCCGCCAAAATGTCCCACAGTCTGGACTCCACCGTGGTTTCTCTGGGCTCCTGGCAGGTGCACCCGGGGTCTGTGTGGCCTGGGGGTGGGGGCACTCTTCACAAGGCTCTGCATTCGTCAAAGAGAGTAGGGCACTGTACAATTCCGCTCAAAACAAAAGACCCACAAGCTCTTCTTCTCAAACACGGATTCCAGAACATATAACATCACTGCCAGGATTATTAAAGACTCCTCTTAGCTATACATATATTTTTAAATTGAAAACCCTTCCTTGTTGTTTCTCCTGCTTCCCCCTGCTGCTTACTTCCCCAATACACACACACACACACACACACACACTCACACACACACACACACACACACACACTCCAAAAGTTCACTAGACCATATCATCTGGCTGCCAAATTCTTACCATAATCACCTTCTTCCTGGCTGGTGTTTAAAGAGGAACTGGAAAAACCCATATTCTTGAGATAGGTGTATGAAAAAGACACATAAAACAACACACATTTCTATACAGGATTCTCTCTCCATGCCGTCACCCCCACCATCCCAAGAATATATATTTATTTTGGAGAAACTATGTATGCAGAAATTGGAATTCTTTTAAACCATGCATGTCATTTAAGAATATATATGGATGTTGATTTGCAGGCTTCTAGTTTAAATCACCAGTGCTTCAAAATCCAGTGATCTTTCGAGTGAATAAAAGAACCCATAGCTTTTAGATGGACACATGGCACAAGGAGCCACTTTCAGCAATGAGCAGAATGCAGCGGCTGGCTCTGTCTTAAAGGGCAACCTCTGTCAAGCGCCTCTGCTAAGTTCCATCCTGGCTGCCTGCCTTCTAAGGGCACACCTGGCCACAACTGACGTCCCTGGCACTCCCTGTGGTTGGCTTTGGCTCTCACCCAAAGTTGCCCCCGATTTCTGTAGAAAAGTAGCCTTGCCTATAGAAAAGGAGTCCTTTTACAACAGGCCGATCGTGACGCCTCTGAGTAGCACTATATCCCACACCCTTTATTTGATGTTTTATGTCAAATGTAGTAAATACTGGCCAGGCGTTAGCCAACCACCGTCCAGGCTGTGCCCGTGGGCCGCCCAAGTCTAGAGATGTCCATGATGAGACTGCAGGATGGAGACCAACTACCCGCTGTGGACAGTCCTCCCGGGGCCCATCAGGTGCCACTCAACCTGCTCTAACCACTGGCTGGTCTGCCCCCTCCCCAGTGCTGGCTCCTGTCTGGGAAGGGGCTGGGCAGTGATGGGCAACCCCCCACACCCCACCTGCCCCACCATCTCTCTGTTTACTGCTCTGCCATTTGGGGGCCTCCTGCTTGTTTTGAACAAACTGCTTTGCCTCCACGAAAGCCATCAACGAAGAACTCAAAATGTGTCTCATCGCTCTGGCCTCTCAAAGCACCAACATCATTTTAACCAACAATCTCTTGGAAAGATCCCTACAAAAGCAGAATTATTCAAAAGTGGAACTTACTGCTGTAATGAATGTAAATGTAATTCTGATTCATTCATTTATAAGTTGTCATTTGCTGTGGACATATGTTAAAACAGTATAACTGCAATGTGCTCTTATCAGGACACGAGAGTTTTTTTTTTCTTGGCACCCGAAGGTCACTTAAGGGAGAAGAGAGCATGACTCGTAGAAAGACACTGGACCAGGGTTTAGGAGACCCAGAGGCAGCCTGCGCTGCTGCTCACTAGCTGGCTGACTCAGGGTGAGTCACCTGTGTCTCTGCTTCCTCTGCAAAATGGGGAATGACCTCTGCCCCGTTCTCTCACCCAGCTGAGGTCTAAAGTGACGGCATGCAGGGGAGCGTGGAAGGGAGGGAGTGTACAAGTTCTGGGTCTCATGTGGATGCTGGCTCTCTTTCAAGGCCTGACCACACTGTCCCAGCCTGTCACTCAGGTGGTTTTCTATTCCCGAGGCACTAGGAAGAGTTTATCTCCCCTTGCCGCTCTCAACTGTATCACGCATCCAGTGGGTCTTTACTTGGAATGAAAATTATTTTTAAGGATCATTATGGTCAAAGGATTCCAAATTTTCCATTGCTTTTTTTAGGTCCCAGGTTTCACAGATGCAGAGGGAAAAAAAAAAAAGCTAATTGAGGTTCAGGCAGCCAGTCTTGGAGAGGTCAAATCAGGAGACATCACTTGGAAACAGAGACACAGTCCTAGCTCTAAATCCTCCAGCAGCACGACGGGGGCTGGGGTGTTTGTGAGGCAAGGGTTATGCCCTGCCTGCACTTGGCTTCAGATCACGACAACCAAAGGGCATCGGTGCTGAGACTGGAGCTGGACGTCCTAACAAATGAGAGCTTGGCTCAAGGGAAACTGGGATGAATTCAGCGGGTCATTCTCCTTATATCCCGAGGCTGTTAGACAGGGCTAGCCTCTCGACAGACTGTCTAGGTTGTCCCCAGGCCTTTTTTTTTTTTTTTTTTTTTTTAAAAAAAAAAAAAAAAAAAAC